GACTAACATTGTGACTCCTCTGAGATGTTCCATAATTATTCATTCACCATTTTGTCTCAGTTAATGAAATGCTTAATTTTTTCGACACCTTTTGCTAAATATAGGCAGCAGCATCTTGTCATATTTTCCCCTTTGTCAAAAGTCTTGTTCATTTGGACTTTTTATATCAGAGGATTTGTCCTCTCCAAAGTCAGTTTTGAATACGTGTCCCACTGCCGTGTACTACCCTTGAGTCCTTCTGCTGTACTAGGCAGAAAGGCATCCACCTGGCTCTCCGAGCTCCTGGAACTGACAGTACATCTGCCTGTATGGCAGTTCATGGAAGCCAACACTGCATGCCCAGCGAGTGTGGAAATAAATAGCAGTGTGGACAGTGAACCATTGCTTAGGTGAGTGGAGTACCAGCATGCCGGAACTTTAAGGTTCCTCCGTAGTTCTCTACACTCCCAAGCAGTGCTCCCATGTCTGCCGTGTAATGTCCCACTGCCTCCCTGCTGATACGCTTGGAAGCAGGGAATTTTAGCCATGAAACAGAATCATTTTGAGGCCTCTGACAAGTACATAAGAACGGTTGTACTTGGTGAGACCACTGGTCTATCTAGCCCCGTAGCCTGTCTTCTAACGTTGGCCAATACCAGCTGCTTCAGTAGCAATGAAAGGGACAGGGCAACTGTAGAGTGATCTGCCCCATGTCAGAAGTCCCAGCTTCTGGTAGCTAGAGGCTTAGGACACCTAGATCCATGGGATTGCATTCCTGAGCCACCTGGCTAACAGCCAAAGATGGACCAGTCCTCCAAGAACTGATCTGACTCTTGGTTGAACCCATTTCGACTTCACAGCATCCCTGGCCACATGTTCCCCAGGGTGAATGTGCGTTGTGTGAAGAGGTAAATCCTCACGTCTGTTTGACACCTGTGACCTCTCTGTTTCACTGGGTGACTCCAAGTTCTTGTGTTCTGGGAAGGAGTAAGTAACACTTCCCTGTTCTCTGGCCCCATACTTGTCATGATTCTATAGACCTCTATCATTTCCCACAGTAGTCTTCTTTTTCCTTCTCTGTACCTCTTCCAATTCAAACATAGATATATATTTTTGAGATGCGATGACCTAAACCAGTGTTTCTCAACCAGTGGTACAAGTGCCCTTAGAGGCACTAGGAAGAAGTCAGGGAGGTTCGTCAACACAACTCAAATTTGGGGAAAACTGAATTTTTGTTTTAAGTTTTACAGCGCTTTATTATTTTTGTATTTTTTATATCCAAAAATGTCAGTGCCCACCTGGCTATGATTAAGTTGTTTAAGCAAATGTGTCGCAAGAGTAGAAAAAAAATTTAGGGGCACACACATATTCTGGCAGTACTGTACATACCAGCAGTATTCCAGGTGTGGGCATCCCATAAATTTACACAGTGGCATTATGATATTTTCTGTTTTATTATACATCCCTTTCCTAATACTCAATTACATTTTATGACAGATGCTGCACACCGAGCAGATGTTTTCAGAGCACTGTCCACAATGGCTCCAAGACTTTTTTGCGAGGTAACGACTAATTGAGGCCTCATTATTTTCTGTGTGCACTTGTATCTTTTCCAATGTGCATTTCTTTGCATTTGCCAACACTGAATTTCATCTGCAATTTTGTTGCCCTATTGCGCAGTTTTGTGAGATCCCTTTGTAACTTTTCACCATCTGCTTTGGACTTCACTGTCTTGCATTACTTTTTATCATTGGCTAATGTTGCCACCTCACTGTTTATTCTTTTTTCCAGATCGTTTAGGGATCTGTTGACAAGCACTGGCCCCAAGACAGATCCCTGGGGAGCCCTGATTTTGATCTTTCTCTGTTCTGAAAACTGACCATTTATTTGTACATTTTGTTTCCTGTATTTTAACCAGTTACTGACCCAAGGGAGCACCTTCTATATCCCATGACAGCTTACTTCTTGAAGAGGCTTGATGAGGGCCCTTGTCAAAGACTTTCCAAGAGTTCAAGTGTGAGAGAGTCACTGGATCATTCTTGCCCACATCTTTATTGACGTCCTCGAAGAATTCTAGTAGATTGGTGAGTTGTGGTTACTTTTTGGAAAAGCCAAACTGACCCTTCCTTAACAAATCTTGTTCATCCAGTAATTCTGTTCTTTACTTCATTTCAACCAGTCCTGGTTCTAAAGTTAGGCTCACTGGGCTGTCATTTCCAGGGTCACCGCGGGGGCCTTATTTAAAAACCACCATCACCCTAGCCACAGTGAATCGTCCTGCCATTTTACACGTGAGTTCCTTCCGAGCTCGTGGTAGGAACCATCTGGACCCGGTGACTGATTACGGTTTCACTGACCTGTTTGTTCTGAAACTGCCTCTATTGACTCCTGAAAGTGGGACAGTTCCTCCGATGTGCCACCGACCCAGAACAGCTCTGTTATCCCAGGGTGCAGTGGGGAGGTCTCCCCATGACTTCAGGGGGAGTAAGATCTGACACAGGGGCTCATTCGGTATGACTGTGCAGTCTCACAGCTTGGGTTGACAGATGCAGGCTCGTGTTGCTCGGGGTACCACGCACAGAATGGCTGTGCCGAGGTTGAGGCTCGCCTCTGAAGCTGGGGCTGCAGCCCCCAACACAACCCACGCCATCTATCCAGCTAATTTTAGCGAGGTACCCCGAATCCATCAATCCGAGCTCTGAGACTTGCTGCTGCGGTCTACCTCTGGCTGTGTAGCTGTATCTTTGGTCATCACCAAGATCAAAATCCACTCATTAATATTGCCCAATGGATGACATACATGCAGGCAGAATACTCAGGTACATCTTGCTACATGCGGCTGAAGATACCTTGTATTTGTAGGCTGAAACCATGTGCCATGTGGCCAGGTATAAGAACACAAGAATGGCCACACTGGGTCAAGTCAAAGGTCCATCTAGCCCCGTATCCTGTCTTCTGCCAGCAGCCAATGCCAGATGCCCCAGAGAGAGTGAACAGAACCAGTAATCATCACGTGATCCCTCTCCTGTCACCCATTTCCATCCCCTGACAAACAGAGGCTAGGAACACCATTCCTACACATCCTGGCTAATAAGTATTGATGGTCCTAACCTCCCTGAATTTATCTAGTTCTTTTTTGAACCGTGTTAAAGTCCTGGTCTTTACAACATCCCCTGGCAAGGAGTTCCACAGGTTGAGTATGCACTGCATGAAGAAAAACATTCTTTTATTTGTTTTAAACCTGTAACCTACTAATTTAATTTGATGGCCTCTAGTTCTTGTGTTATGGAAACAAGTAAAAATCTTTTTCATGCTCACTTTCTCCACACCTGTCATGATTTTATAGACCTTTATCATATTCCCCCCTTAGTCCCAGTCTTTGTAATCTCTCTTCACCTGGCACCCGTTCCAAATCCGTAATCAATTTTGTTGCCCTTTTCTGAACCTTTCCAATGCCAAAATATCCTTTTTGAGATGAGGCGACCACATCTGTACGCTGTATTCAAGATGTGGGTGTACCATGGTTTTATATAGAGGCAATAAGATACTCTGTCTTATTGTCTATTCCTTTCTTAACGATTCCTAACATTCTGTATACTGCATACTTACGGCAGAATACACACTAAGTAATGTGCATCTCCCAGGTCCAGAGTCCACCAGACAGGATACATGTTAGAAAAGAGCAGGTTACCCAGAGATGGAAGGGCACCTTTATTGCAGATACTCATTCCACATTGAGATCTGAGTGAGCAACAAATTAACCCCCGGTACACCTTTTTGTCTTAGTCTATCGGTACGTCTACACTGCATAGCTATTTCAGGATGCCGGATGTATCCCGAAATAGCTACGCCATGTCTATGCAAGCCACCTGTAATTTCAAATTTTTTTTGAAATAATGGGTGCGCTATTTCGTCATCCCGGTAAAATCTCGTTGCACGAGGGATAATGGATAGCTCAAAATAGCGCGTTATTTCGAAATTTGGCACTGTGTAGACGTGCCAAATTTCAAAAGAAGCTATTTCAAAATAGTTTAGAAATAAGACACACAATTTACCTAGCTCAAACTGCATATCTTATTTCAAGTTTAGGGTGCTGTATAGACGCATCCTCAATGTAAATACACTTATCAATCATATCACTCTTTATGCCCCAATTTAATAGAGTGAACACCCATATAATGCATAGTCATAACCATAGTATCATAGAACACTAGAACTGGAAGGGACCTCAAGAGGTCATTGAGTCCAGCCCCCTGACCTTATGGCAGGACCAATCACTTTCTAGACTATCCCTAATAGATGTCTATCCAGACATCTCCAGAGATGGAGATTCCACAACTGCCCTAGGCGACTTATTTCTGTTTAACCACCTTGACAGTTAGGAAGTTTTTCCCATGTCCAACCTAAACCTCCCTTGCTGCAATTTAAGCCCATTGCTTCTTGTCCTAAAGAAGAACATAGAACTCTAGAACTGGAAGGGACTTTGAGAGGTCATCGACTCCAGTCCCTTGCATGTATACTTCAAAGCGAATGTCAATGGAGAAGGGTGTAGGAAGATAGCATTGTTAACACAGAGCGCAAGCATTAACAGTTATATCTTTGGTACAGCTGTGTTCTTATCTGTCCCTAGGAAGAACGAAAGGAAGAAAACTTGTCTGTAAATCAATAGGGACAGTGTCTGCCCATGCTGTACCCCCATCACCATGGTAGCAAGGACCCAGACCCCTTATTTAACCCTTGCACGCCCAAGGTCCCAGACCCCTTATTTAACCCTTGCACGCCATAAGAGGAAACAAGTGAGGTTCATTGCTTGTGGCCTGTGAAAACGCTAAATGACTTTTGCAGAGAAAAATACAAGGGTTTGTATAATTAGCGTTAACGCAACGTGACTCCACAATAGGTCAATCCACTTCTTCTAGAGTGGACGCTGAACCCTCCCATGTATTTAATTTGCAGGCTCTGTTCATTTCATGCGCTGTGTTTTGTTGAAAGGGAAGACGCTGACGTGAGACTTGCAAAAGATGCCACAAGAAGGCAACGTGCCCAGTTCCAACAGTACAAGCTCCGATCCGTCCGTGTTCTTCCTGACGGGCATCCCAGGCCTGGAAGATATGCACCTCTGGATCTCCATCCCCTTCAGCTCAGTGTTCGCCATCATCCTTCTAGGAAACTGCACCCTCTTGTATGTTATCAGGACGGAGCCCTCCCTACACAAGCCCATGTTCTATTTCCTCGCCATGCTGGCCGTTGTCAACCTGGTTTTATCCACGACCACTGTGCCGAAAATACTGAGCATCTTCTGGTTTAACTCCAGGGAGATCAACTTTAGTGCCTGTCTGGTGCAGATGTTTTTCATTCACTCATTCTCCATGATGGAGTCTGCTCTCTTGCTGGCCATGGCCTTTGACAGGTATGTGGCCATCTGCAACCCCTTGAGGTACGCCACCATCCTGACCAATTCAGTGATAGTGAAGATTGGGCTGGCGGCTTTGGTCCGGGCGGTCGTGCTAATGGCCCCTCTGCCCTTCCTCGTCAGGAGGTTGCCTTTCTGCCAGTCCCATGTCATTGCCCACTGCGCTTGCGACCACATGGCCGTGGCGAAGCTGGCTTGTGCAGACACCAGGATCAATAGCATCTATGGGATCATCATAGCTTTCTTCATCGTGGGGCTGGATCTGATGTTCATTGCCCTGTCATATGTCAAGATCATCAGGACTGTCTTAAGCCTGGCATCCAAGGAAGAACAGCTCAAAGCTTTTGGAACTTGTGTTTCCCATCTTTTTGCCATTTTGGTGGTCTACCTCCCAGGGGTCCTCTCCTCAGTAATTCACAGGTTCGGTGAACAAATTGCCCCATACGTGCACATCCTGCTGGGTACGTTCTACCTCCTCTTTCCTCCCATGATGAACCCCATTGTGTATGGTGTGAAAACCAAACAGATTCGCGACAGGGTGTGTCTTATCTTCCAGGGCAAAAGCATTTAGGCTGCACCTGGTGTGTAGTCGAGTGCTGGGAAATCCATCAGCAAATCCCCCACCCCTATAAATGCACAAGGATCATGAATGCTGAAGCATTTCCCTCCAGTATCTTGCACCCTGAACAATTTTAAAGCCCTTCACACATTATGGAGGGAAGGGACCATGTAGGCTGGAGTGGTAACACCCTCACCTTGGCAGAATATGGCCTCTGGGCTCTCCCTGAGCTGTGATGGTCACCTGGGCAGTTACACTTGGCTGTGGTCCTGCCTCATCTCTTCTATCACGAGCAAGAGATCTGGGTCTGCTAATTCCTTGCCGTAGGAAGCGTCTTACTTGTCATCACCCAGTGTCCCACTGACTGAGCTAGGAATTGATGGTAGCACTCTAAAACTGAAATAAACTGGACTGCAATGCCAATGAGATGAGTTCATGGATTGCAGTGCATGTGCCAAGGGGTAATAGAGATGCAGCCGTGTTAGTCTGGTCTTGCTGAAACAAAAGAAAGGACTATGCAGCACTTTAAAGACTAACAAGATGGTTTATTAGGTGATGAGCTTTCGTGGGCCAGACCCACTTCCTCAGTGGGCCATGAAAGCTCATCACCTAATAAACCATCTTGTTAGTCTTTAAAGTGGGGGTGTTTCTCGTAGCCAGGTCTCTACCCCTAGTCTCTTTCAACCTACCTGCAGAATCTTGACCAGAACGTCAATACAATCCAGCACCTCATTTTTGGTGGAAATAAAGCCCAGCTGAACTTTTGAGAAATCAGAGTCCAGAAGGATGCTGTCTAGCATGAAAATGCGTCTTTCGCCCACAGAAATGTGTCCAATAAAAGATATTACCTCCCACACCTTGTCTTTCAAGGTCAGGGGTGGGCAATCATTTTTGCAGGTGGAGTCACTTATGAATTTTAGTACATGGTTGCAGGCTGGTTCCGGACCTCCCGGAAGGGGTGGAGCCTCGGGCAGAAGGGATGGGGCTGGGGGCTACAGAGAGAGACAAAGCGAGTGTGTGAAGGTGAAAAAGAGGCACTTTGTGTGTGAGAGACAGGCTTTGTGACATTGATTGAGTGTGTGTGGCAGTGTGTATGTGACCGTGACTGTGTGCATGGCACAGAGACAGTGCTGCACCGACTGGATGTGTGTGTGACACAGAGAGTGTGTGTGCTGGCTGCTGCTGGGTAAGTTTCTGAGAGAAGCCACCTTCTGTCTCTTTAAGGGAAATCTGTCCTGCTCTGTTGTCTTCCTCCTCCTGCTCTGCCCTCCTCTGAGTCACCTACAAGTTGGGGGGAGGGGCAGCTGAACACACATGGCTGGCTGTAATTATGCACCTCTGCTAATCAGCTGGGTGGGTCCGAGAGAAATGCTTGGCAGGCCAGATCTGGCCCCCTGGGCCTGAGCTTGCCCATCCCTGTTTTAGATCCATGGGAGTCCATCCATGAACTCTGATATGCTCATGTCGGTCACAAATATGAATTAAGATCACATTTTAGCCCCTTTCGGCCAGAAGGATCAAACAGTTCTGTAAGAACTATGGGGCTAGTCATCAGATGGGATGGGCACCCCACAATTCTCACAGGCTACAGTACACACAAGGAGGCGTCATGTGGCACCCTAAAGACTAGCACATTTATTTGGGCATCAGCTTGCAAGGGCTGGAACCCACGAAAGCTGATACCCAGATCAATCTGTTAGGGTATGTCTACACTAGCCCCCTAGTTCTAACTAGGGAGGCTAATGTAGGCATTCGAAGTTGCAAATGAAGCCCAGGATTTAAATATCCTGGGCTTCATTTGCATCTTCCTGGGCGCCGCCATTTTTAAATGTCCCTTAGTCCGAACTCTGTGCCCGCGGCTACACGTGGCACGGAGTAGGTTGTTCGAATTAGGATCTCTAATTTGAACTACTGTTACTCCTCGTGGAGCAGGGGCAGGGCTGAGTGCAGAAGGGGCGGGGCTATGAAAAGTGATCAGGGATATTAACATACAAGCAAGTGTCATGCTTCATAGGGAGCTAGTGAGTCTGCTGTGAAAAGTGGCACCTTCAGGTTTGTTAATGCCACTTTTCTCAGCAAGCCCCAGGAGCTATTAGACTCTGGCTGAGAGGGCTGAAGGAGGATGCACCAGCAGGGTTCCCTGTATGCCGAGCACTTGGGCAGCTGCCCAGGAGAGATTCAAATGCCACCCAGCTGATTAGCAGAGCACCCACAGCCAGAAGCATAGGTTTCTATTAGTGGTGCACATCAACACATGCCTTGGTGCACAGAACAAAATTTATTCTGCATATGGGTGGAAACCATTAGAGGCAACACTGGGCACCAGGGGCCCCGAAGCAATGGTAAGATGGATGCAGGACCTGGGGAGGCAGTGGGGGCCCAGGGCAATGCGGGTGATAGAGGTAAGTCCAGAAAGGCAGTGGGTTCCAGGGCAGGGTTCCTATGCAGGTGTGCACCAAAAATTTCAGTCCCACCCACCCCCTCAGCAGAGCCATGCAGCTGTGGCCTCAGCTGCTTGCAGGGGTGGGGCTGTGTGGTGGGCTGCTGCCCAGCAAGTGGCTTGGGTGGGAGCTGCTGGAGCCTGGGCTGTGGAACTAAAAATAGCACCACGGCCCTGGCTCCAGCCCCGGAACACAGGGCAGCTGCCTGCTGTGCTGCCCCGCCCAAGAGGTGCAGGTGTCAGGGTGACAGAAGGGAAGAGAAAGGGCAAGGGGAGAACTAAGGGGAAGGTGGAGGTAAGGAGAGGAAGAGGCTTGGGCAGTGCGGGGATGAGAAGGTGTCAGTGGGCGTGGGAGAGGACAGGGTGATGCTGGGAGAGGGGAGGAGCAATGGGGATGAGAGGAAGGAAGAGGAAAGGGGAGGAGTGGGTGCTGGGAGAAGAGGGGTTGAAAGGAGGGATGAGTATAAGGAAGGCAGGGGCTGGAGCAAGTCGTGTGTGAGGGCACAGAGGGACATGAGAGAAGCTAGGGCAGAGGGTAGTGAGGGGGTGGGCACCTGGAAGGAAGAGAGCAAGGAGGGAGGGCAGTGAGGGAAGGGGGAGGCACCAGGAGGGTGCAGAGGTAAGAGAAGGTGCAGGTGCCAGGGGGATTGTGGGGGTGAAGCAGAAGTGCAGTCATGAGAAGTGCAGTGGAAGGGTGGGACGGGCACCAGAGGGCTGAGGAGAGAGGCAGGGCAGGTGGGTAGAGGGAGGTGTTAGGAGAAGGGAGAGGCAGGGGAGCTAGAGGAAGGGTGGGCACACGGGGGAGGGGAAGGGCGGGTGCAGGGAACAGAGAGGATGGGGGGGGGGGGGGGGGGGGCGG